CCTGCTATTTTACAAAAAGTATTACAATACTGAAATGATTGGAATTTTCTTAACAGTAATCTGTTCAAAGGTCAGACATGGTGGCTCCTTCACGCTATAATCTCAGCACTTGGGAGGCTAAAGCAGGAGAACTGACAGGGGTTTTAAGGACAGCCTTGGCCATAAAAGGCAGGCTGCCTCAGGGGAAAAAAAAATGATGGTCACTCTTTTTTTTTTTTTTAAAGATTTATTTATTTATTATGTATACAACATTCTACCTCGATGTATGCCCGCCCGCTAGAGGAGGGCGCCAGATCTCAGTACAGATGGTTGTGAGCCACCATGTGGTTGCTGGGAATTGAACTCAAGACCTCTGGAAGAGCAGGCAGTGCTCTTAACCTCTGAACCACCTCTCCAGCCCTGGTCACTCTCTTCATTCAATTGAGGATCAAGAAACAGCGAAGAACTTATTAAACTACTTCTGCATATTTGTAATTTTATGTAAAATTTAGAAAAATAATCTCTTCAACATACGAATTTTCAGGAAAGCATGGTGGCAACCACTTGTAATTCCAGCACTCAGAAGGCTGAGGCTGGAGAACCTGGAGAATTCAAGTCCAGTCTCGTCTATATAATTCGACTGCCTCTCCCACTTCCCAAATAAAACAGGGTTGGGGAGATAGTCCAATTGGTAGAGTCAGGACATCCTGAGTTTGATCACTAGAACTAGTCAGGCCTCATAGCACACAGTTGTAATCCCAGCACTTGGGAAGCCCAAGCCAAGAGATCAGAGTCCAAGGCTATCCTTAGGTACACAGTGAATCTGACACAATCCTCGGCTTTAGGAGACACCAATTTAAAGAAAACAAAAAAGATGCCTATTTATGCAAAATGGTATCAGAAGGTGTTTTCTCTAAAACACAGATCTTCATGAGACAGGCATATATAATCAAAGAACTTAGATGGCTGAAGCAGGAAGATCCAAATTGGAGATCCTGGCTCGAAATTAAAATATAAAAACACACTAAAATAAAATATAAATCCTGTTCTTCACAATACTTGAAAAATGCCCTTACTCTGGAAATTTTAAACTATTACTTTGGATAGATCCTTAAAGAAAATGAGTAGGACATGACTGCTTAATGCTCAGTTTTAACCTGGGTAAATTCTCTTGAGATTTTGTATAATAAATCAATTTATCTAGAGAAAGAACTGGCTGAGGGTTGAAGATGTAACTCAGCTGTTGGCTTGCCCTGGACTCTATCCCCAAGTCAGCATCAACTGGGGGTAGTTGTACAGGCCTGCAATCCTAGTACTCAAGGTAAAAGCAAGGGGATCAGGATTCAAGGTCACAGAATTCAACTGGCTATACAAGGGCTGAGGCCAGGTTGGGGCCACATGAGATCCTGACTAAAAAAACTAAACATACACAGATAAAAACAAAACAAATGCTTGAGAGAGTTGAAACACAGTCAGAAGCTTCCTCTAAAAATCTGTATACCTTTTGAATAAACCGAATTTGTAACCTGTTCAATGGGAATGTAGGCAATCCAGTAAAATGGTTTTAAAGCTGCGTTGTCCCTGCTTCCATTAAGTGCTCAATCCTGTGTCTACATCCTGCAACATTCTTGTCATTCCAGTCACACACAAAGTAAAACATTCTCTCCAGACCTCTGTGTATCAGGATAGTAAGAAAGGTTCAAGTAAATAATGCCAGAAATGTATGCTCCACTTATTTACATGCATAATACATACATAGATGTGTATCTGCCTGCCTGTCTGTGAGTGTGTATGTACGTGTCTGCAAGAACTGACTCCAGATGCAAAGTCACAGGGATTGTGACAGGAGCTCTAGGAATCTAAGTCTGGTCCTCAGGAAGAGACTGCTGCTCTTAACCTCTGCACCATTTCTAGTCACTTCTCACCTTTTTACTGGGAAAAAGTCTATCCTTTAAGAGGTCTGCAACTTAAGTCCATTTTTGCCACCGCAAGATAGCTTCTGAAAAGGACAGTCAATCAGAGCGAGTAACTAAATAAACAACATTAAAGTGGCAATTTATAAAGGTCACTTTATCCTGACATAAAATGAATAATGCTTTCTAAAGTTTTGTGATAGAACTCTCACTCAACTGCCAAAGTTGGTTCTAAACTCCTGGAATCAAGAGATTCTCCCCCAACTTCCCCAAAGTACTGAAACTACAGGCACTGGTCATCTCGGCATTTTTTTAAAACTCGGGTTCAATTTTTTTAAAAATTCACACATTGAATTGTTTAAGGACTACAATTACTTGATTTCATGAAAATTAAGCCTTGTTTGCATACCCCCACAAAAAGATTAAATGCTGAAAGCAGACAGTGGTTGTGCATGCCTTTAATCCCAGTACTTGGGAGGCAGAGGCAGGTGGATCTCAGTGAGTTTGAGGCCAGCCTGGTCTACAGAGTGAGTGCCAGGACAGGCTCCAAAAACAAAAACAAACAAAAAACATGATCTTCAAAAAAAAAAAAAAAAAAAAAAAAAAAAAAAAAAAAAAAAAAAAAAAAAAAAAAAAAAAAACCCACAAAATTCATAGTAAATAAATACTATAGAAAATACTTATCTTTTTGGCCTCAGGAAATAATAAAATGTGGCACAAAATAAATCTCATTTAGCAGCCTAAATATGTTCATAGGATTTAAAAAAAAAAAGTAAAGATCACTGAAAACTAATATTTATTGAATACCTATCAGGTGTTAGGTGACCCTGCTTAAGGCTCATTTAAAATACATATTCTCATGGTGTTGCACTCCTTTGATCCCAGCACTTACGAAGCAGAGCTAGGCAGATTTCTATGAGGTTGAACACCAGCCTGGTCTACACAGTAAGTTCTAGGCCATACAGGGCTACCCAGTGAGACCCTATCTCAAAACAAAACAAGCAAAAATAACAAAGTAACTATGTAATGCAGGTCTCATAACTATTTACATATAGAGAAAGTATAACTTGCTTATGGCCACAAATCTAGAAAATGCCAAGTTAACATTATAATCAGTATAATTCTAAAAGCCAGGAGTCAAACTATTCTTATACTGTACCATGAGAATGGAAATAAACATTTCAACACCTTACTTTAAGTCTCTAAAATTTAGCCCTAAGACTTAAGACTTATAACAACTCTCAAATTATAGGTCTCTTTGGGGGTCACATTACCCTTTTACAGGGGTTGCTATCAAATATTTACATTATAACTCATAACAGTAACAAAATTGCAGTTATGAAACAGCAACAAAAATAATGTTATGACTGGGGGTCACCACACATGAGGACATGTTAAAAACAACATGTTAAACATTAGGAAGGTTAAGAAACAATGTGAGTAATGAGAATTATTAACATCAGGCTCAACACTATCTAGATGCCATAATCCCAGATAGATACTACATGGCATCATAACAGACAAACTTAAACAACTTTCTGAAACTTATTTCCAATTCCTCTCATTTCCCCAGCCCCCCTGTTTTGTTTTGAACTTACTCCCATTCCTTTTTCTAACTTCTTTCTTTATTTACGTCTTAACTTCCACTTCCTAGGAAAAGTGAAAAATCAAAACTGAAAATCTGCTGTTGTGTGGTAGCAGAAAGTTGGTAACAAATTATCCCCAAGTGCAATACACACAACAGGCAAACACGCATGCAAGTGGCTACTCAATAAAACTATCAGTCATTATTAACTTCAATGTATGCAGACCTCACCTCGTTCCTCAAACTTAGGCTGTCTGGTAAAGTGGACAAACACTCGACAAAAGTCAGAGACAAGACATAAAAATCCAAACACTACTATTAAATTCACAATGACTACCGAGCTCAAAATTCTGAACACCAGCAGGATTTACAAAGTACTAGATTAATCAAAGGACGAAAAAGCATTTTCCAGTCCATACAAAACTTTATCTGCACAAATATCGGAAGACTTAGAAAACTTCGATAGTGGCCAGACAGTAATGGCACACACCTTTAATCCCAGCACTCGGAAGGCAGAGGCAGGCGGATCTGTGAGTTTGAGGCCAGCCTGGTCTACAAGAGATAGTTCCAGGACAGCCAGGGCTACACAGAGAAACTCTGTCTTGAAAAAAAAAAAAAAAAGAAAGAAAGAAAAAGAAAACTTCACTAGTATACAGTTATGGAGCTGAGACTTTCTAACTTTTTTTTAAAATGAACACAATATAATGACATCTAAAGCTGTAGGATGAGCCGTGGGAGTTTTCAAAAACAATGAAGGTTAACAGGATTCGAACTTACAAGAAAAAAAAACCACTGGCCCCTGGTCTACTTCAACCAGCAAATCTTGGGTGTTTTTCAAGGCCTATCCTTGTGTAGATGAATTACTGTTACCTTTCCCCTTTCCACAGTGCCCAGTTCTGGCCTAGGTTTCTGTCCACTAGCCTGCTGGTTAACTCGGCGCTCAGGTCATCCTCCTTACCGCAGGGTGGGGGAAGGGAGAGCTAAAAGTTGTTTTACTGTTCCAATTCTAGTTTAGGAAAAACCAAGCTCTTTTTTGCATCCAACCGCTGTAACGAGCTACCGACCCTAACTAAGGAGCCGATCTAAGTTACTGACACCTGGGAGCCGCGAACCGGGCAAGGCAGGCGGCTCTCCCTACTTTCCATATGGGACAAACACTGCAACCGAGTTTCCAATCTGCTCGGCTCGTTCCAGTGAGAGGTTCTGGACTGCGAAGCTTGCACGTGGGCCGACCCGACTGCTGCTGTCACTTCTCGTCGCCAGTTAGGATCCAGGCCAGGGAGCGGACCCCCGGTGATGGCCTGGGACTCGGGCTGCCGCCACCCTCGGCAGAGTCCGGCCGGACACGCCGCCGCCCGCTGCCCACATGGCCGGCCGGCCGAGGGAACCAGGGCACGGCTGGGCCGACGCTCACGCGGGACCCACGGCCCGCAGGCCCGGGCGGCGCCCCGGGGCCCCCCGATCTGCCCGCCGGCCCGCAGCCGGCGCCTGCCGAGCGGCCTGGCGCTCCGGCCCGCACCTACCTTCACGTCTTCGTCCTCGTCCTCGCCCTCCCAGCGGTCCCCGCCGGCCGTGCCGCCGCCCGCGACCTTCCGCATCGGGTCCTCCATAGAGAACGTGTCCGCGTCTACGGAAGAGAGGGAGTCGCGTTAGTCCACGCGTGGGAGCGAGGCCGCCACGGCCCGCACTCGGGCCGGAACTTCTGCTCACCCCAAGAGTCTGAGTCGCCGGCCGCCGCCGTCGCTGCCGTCGCCGCCGCCATCTCGAGTCGGGATGAGCGTGCGTGAAAGGAAGCGCTGCGAAGAGTTAGCGCGGCAGAGGTGAGTCACCCGGCTGGTTCTCGTTGGCCCGCGCGGGGCAGGCTGGGACCGTGGCTGACTGGGCGCCCGGCCGAGGGCCCGCCCCTTCGGGCGACGCGCGCGGCGGGCGGGGCGGGGCAGGGCGGGGCGACGCTTGGCTGGGAGACGCCAGCCCCAGCCGGGGGCCCCCGGAAGGAAAGCAAGTGCGCACGCGTGGGTCGGGAGGTGCTCGCCCGTCGGCTGCGGATCGCCGACTGCGAAAGGACTGAGAGCGGGGTGGAGCGTCGGGTGGTGGCAGCAGACTGGGCGGTCCTCCTGCAGTCTTCCAGCGTGCGGGTCGGAAGATCGAAGTTGACCCCAATCTCTCGGGGTTTCCCCTTTCCGTGAGCCTCTGGAGGCCAGCCCGGTGATTCTTTAACGAAAACATTTCGGAATTCCGTGGTGTGTGCCAGGCATATGCTCTAGTTTGTTCTCAACCCCTAGCAAAATAGTTATGTAAACACATTTCGACATAGAGCCCTGGCTGCAACAAAAAGAAGCATTATGAGGTTAGATGTAAAAAGGTAGCGTTAACGACGGCGGAGAAAGCAGTTTCCTGTCTGCGGTAGGCTGCCTACTGTAGGCGCTGGTGAAGTTGGTGTTTGAGAAACCACGTGACTCCTCGGGTGCATTTAAAAGGCTTGTGGCGCTCACCTGAAAGAGTGCAATCGAATAGGTAAATTGATGATAAAGAACCTAAAAATGAGTATTTTTCCCCCCATTTGGCACTGGACTTCCATTGTAAGGACATTAAGGGACGAGCTAGTTTAGATATTTTGTTGTTTATTTTCCGATATATTCGGGGGTTCGTTTTGTTTTGTTTTTCGAGACAGGGTTTCTCTAGCTTTTGGAGCCTGTCCTGGAACTCACAGACATCCGCCTGCCCCTGCCTCCCAAGGGCTGGGATAAAGGCGTGCGCCACCACTGTCTGGCTATATTCATAGTTTTAAAAATCTTTAAAAAATATACAGTAACCAGCCATTCTCATTAGTTTCCATTTCTTGCCTATTTTTGGTCTAAAAATAAATATTTCATAAGGTGGACTTTCAAGAAGTGTTGTACAGCATTATTAAATCGTGACCGCATCTATTTGTAAAAGTGGATTAAAAGTTAAGCAAGAGAGACGGCAACAAAGAGGAGGACGGCCAGGCGGTGGTGGCGCACGCCTTTAATCCCAGCACTCGGGAGGCAGAGGTAGGCGGATCTCTGTGAGTTCGAGACCAGCCTGGTCTACAGATCTTGTTCCAGGACAGGCTCCAAAGCCACAGAGAAACCCTGTCTCAAAAAAACAAAAACAAACAAACAAAAAAAAAAAACAAAGAAGAGGACACAATCATTCACAAATTTTATCTTCAACACTTGGCAAAGTCCCTAATTGCTGTGCTAAGGATAAAACCAAGAGCCTCTGCAAGCCTTGCACTACCACTGAACTATGCAACCCCTAACCTCAGTGAATTAGTTAATTGAGAAGAATTCAAGCCAAAATTAAGTTAGTTAAAGTAAGACCCTCAAGAAGGAAGACTTGTGCCTCTAGATCTCCCTTGGGTCTTTATCCTACTTGCCTGCCCTGAAGATTTTGAAGTTGTGTGATCTAAATTTCTTAAATTCTCTGTTTATACATGCATCCCATTGATCTGTGTCTTCAGAGAGCCCTAATATGGTGACTGAATTTATTGAAGCTCCGAGTAAGAAAGGTTATGCTTTAGGAGACTGAGTGATGGTGCATATCAAAACCTGAGAGCTAAACTTGATTTCTTGCCCTCTCTGTCCCCCGGGACTCCATTTGCTACCCACTTTTGTAGCTCTCCTTTCATTACTGGAATTGAAAAATTACCATTACCTGAATTAGAGAGTTTTGTAACTTCAAACTGGTGTTCCATCTTCATCTCTTTCTACACAGTCCATCCCACACATAACAGTTTGCTTGCTTAAAAAAGTGATTTATGAGAAAAAAGTTTAAAAAAAAAAGTGATTTATGCCAGGTTGTGGTATAATGTCCCACTGACCTAGCACCAGAGGGATAGCAAGCAACCTCTGCTAGCCATGAAATCCTGCTGGGTTATACCTGGCCTGGCTCTGGAGTTTTCACACAGCCCCTTGGCCTTCCTTTGTTACAAATACCTTTTTGCTGGCCAGTGTGGTGCTCAAACCTTTAATCCCAGCACTCAGGAGGCAGAGGCAGGCAGATCTCTGTGAGTTTGAGACCAGCCTGGTCTACAAGAGCTGGTTCCAAGATAGGCTCCAAAGCTACAGAGAAACCCTGTCTCAAAAAACAAACAAACAAATATCTTTTGCTGCCCTATGTTAATCTTAACTGAGACTTTCCCACGAATACAAAGCCTATGCAAAACTTGGTTTCAAGTAAACCCAGACAACCCTGGTACTTCATGAATCAGCTATATGTACCTGGCATTGTATTGTCAGAAGCTTCTATCAGTTTGTTTTGAGATATGGAAATCTACTAGCTAAAGTATAAATATAGGAAAAATAAAGATGCTGGGAGGCAAAGGGAAGGAGCATCAGTTCACGGAGACTGAGCCCCCTACAGGCACAGAGGCTGAGTTCATTCTCAATGTGACTCTGAGTCTCCATTTCTTGGACACTTGTGAACCCACATACCCATGCCAAAATAGTCGTGACATTTTGACACCCACCATGGGGCTTGAAGATCAGAGACCCCAGCCACACTGAGAACTAGGAGGAGCTCTCGACAGTAAGAGGACCCAGGACTGGCAAGACCGTGGGGATTGAAACTCTTCATCTCATGAGCGACAGAGTGCATAGGCGCTAAAATGCTTGTCAAAGGAAAAAGCAGTAACTGCACATTTTTTAAAGATAGAGATAAAATGGATCCCAAAACAGAGAATAAATCAAGGAAAAAGACCCTTCTCTGTAGAAAGGAAAGGGAAAATATTGTATCAAGTCCTAAACATTAAAAGACCTCATAAAAGAAAAATGATGAAAAGAAAAAAAAAAAGCCTCTTCCCAGTAGATATAGAGGGGGGGAAAGACTCTGATAAAGGAATTGAGAATAGTTAAAAACCAGAGTTCTAGGGGCTGGAGAGATGGCTCAGAGGTTAAGAGAACTGATTGATGTTCTGGAGGTCCTGAGTTCAATTCTCAGCAACCACATGAAGGCTAACACCCATCTATAATGAGATCTGGTGCCCAGAACACTATATACATAATAAATAAATTTTAAAAAGTCAGAGTTCTGTCTCTCTAGCTGAAATTTGCCTGTCAGAACAGAGCTGTGGTATCTAAAGGAACAACAGATGGACCTCACTGCTTCAGCTTGAGCTAGCTCAGCAAGCCAGAGCTTAGAATTTTATGTTTGCTTAACTTTGCTTAAAATTTTGCTGTTACTGTTTTTCATCCACACTGTTAATAATTAGCAAGTTGCGTTAACATGTTACTTGGGATCTATAAAAAAGAATCCTCTTCAGGCAGCGGTGGTGGCGCACACCTTTAATCCCAGTACTTAGGAGGCAGAGGCAGTCAGATCTCTATGAGTTCGAGGCCAGCCTGGTCTACAAGAGCTAGTTCCAGGACAGGCTCCAAACCCTGTCTCAAACAACAACAACAACAACAAAAAGAGATCCTCTTTTTAAGATTTTATAAAAATGCTCCACAAGTATTGCCTAAAGTTATGTCTTAAAATCCTATAGTGTTGTGCCCAGTCCATAGTTACCCCAAAAGACTGCCAGGGAAGCTGACTCACTGAAATACAAAAGCAAGGTTTATTGTGTGCACAATACAAGCTGACAGGGACCTCGTCAAAGCAACTGATGCAGCAGAGGAGATCCCCCGCCCTTCTAGAGAGCATTATTTAAAGGCAAAAGCCAGAAAAGTTACATCAGCAGAGTGTGGGGTGACAGGTTCAATCCTGACTGGCTCATATCTAGGGACTTTTCTCAAATTTTATTTTCAAACCTCGCCTGTTGCTTGTCAATCTTTCATATCAGCTGACCTTCAGGTGGGGACATTCTGTGGTTATCTGCACTTTCCAGATGGCTACCCTGTCACTTTTGCCCCCAGCCATTGCTGAGGACTAGAAGGTTTTACCAGAAATAGCTTAAGCAAGACACAGATGGAGGTGGAGGACAAAATGGAGGAACTTTGGTTCTTCATAGAGATTGTTTTAATGCTTTTAAAGATGGTTTATGTATAAAAGATTACGCAGATAAAAACTGGTTATAGAATTGTTGTTATTCTTGCCCCCATATCTTAAAGGTAAAACAGCTCCAATTATGAAGTAAAAGGTTTTAAATCACTGGGGGAAAAGGTGTTTTGGTAAACTGTTATTAATGATGAGAGGCCAAAGTTAAAATTGCAAATAAATAACAATAAGATTGAGGCCTATTAAATGCAAAGTTGACATATCTGTAATTTTTCAAAATTCTAAAATCTGAATTGATCTATTCAAGAGATCTCCACTCAACTTTTGGGCAATAAAATCTTAGGTGGAACAAAATGTAAAATAGATTAAACATGGGGCTGGAGAGATGGCTCAGTGGTTAAGAGCATTGCCTGCTCTTCCAAAGGTTCTGAGTTCTATTCCCAGCAACCACATGGTGGCTCACAACCATCTATAATGAGGTCTGGTGCCCTCTTCTGGCCTGCAGACATACACACAGACAGAATATTGTATACTAAATAAATAAATTAAAAAAAATAGATTAAACATATAGAACCTGAAAGACATAAAAGGAGATTAAAGTCTATGTGGATAAAACAGTGGCCCTTAACTAAAGAAAAAAAAATGCTTGAGGAACTTGTAATAAAACAGTTAGGTGCTAAGCACATTGAGGAAACTACCAGTCCTTAAAAGTCTCCTGTGTTTGTATAAAACAGAATCTCAAGAATGGAAAAACTGGAAAATGTTAACTTATCTAAGAGCTATTAATAAGATAATTCAATCTATGGGATCTTTATTGCTTAAAATTCCTTTACACAAACAAAATAGAAAAAAATGCCTTCATGCTGCCTACTTACAATAATGCCTAGTCCATAAAGAGATATCAATAAAAGTAC